GATTTTGATACAATTTATACGTATTTCCGAGAGGAAAACCAGTCCAATTAGATCGCGAGAAAATGCTCCAGTTTGCCCGCATCGTTGCCTGCCAAATTGCAACACTCCGTCCTCAGAGACCCAACCTAGAAAAAGAACCGCGCACGTCACATTGACGTCATTCGAACAAGGATTGCATCGAATGGGTGCACGAAAATAAGCGGGAACCAAAATATACATGTGTCAAATTGAAAACTATAATTAAATCAAATCGGGGTTAAGCGCAGCATTAAAAACGGGCCGCAGAAGAGTTACGAATGCCCAACCTGACTGATAGAGTAAATGGAATCGGTTAAGGCCGATCTTTAAACTGCAGTATGACAAATCCACGAATTTGTGATAAAAGTAGAGGTACCCCCCGAACCAGATCCTGTTCTCGTCCAAAAATTCAACTTTTTCGCATTTTTGTCTGGCGAATAAGCCAAAGATAAGCGACACAAGTTCAGTTTATAAAACAGTGGCCATAAAAATTCATGGGAGGGATCTGGATTCGGCTGCCGTCTATTTCACTTTGGCCAATCAAAATACACAGCCAAACATCCCATCAAAGTCCACACTGTTTTATTTATAATCAAAGTGTGTTAACTTATATAAAAAAAAATCCCAAGTGGCCAATAATTTGCGAATTGATATTTGCACAGATGCCCACAGTCGATTGATGCGCTGGCATAAAAATGTCGATTTTCGTGCGCTTTTGATTCATTACGTGTTGATTTTAAAGGAGCACTCACTCGATTCAAGGACGTGAAAAAGTTCAAATTTCCTAAAAAAAATTCGAAAAATGTGTTGTGCGCTCGACGCAGTTTGTGGTTGATCAGAGTTATGGAAGCTTTACAAAGCTGAAGATAAACCCCCAAAAAACAGTCAAAACTGGAAAATATATGCACCCAGCTGTCGAATGTCGCAGAATATCAACGTAAAACCAACAACAGTAGAGAAGAAAGAAAACGACGTTAAATAAAAACTATGGAGAAACTGCAAAATACGAGTACTAAACATTTGAATTAAGACAGTCAACGCTGTGCCGAAAACCTGACATTCGTAAAGGCGAGATTTTGAGAAATCAGACTCAATCAACTTTTCAATTCTGCAAAAAACTCCCGTTTTTGACCTGGATTTGGAAAGATACCCCATGTAGTCACATGGGGCGATCTGAAGAATGTTTCAATTTTCAAACTTTCCTCGCCCATAGAAAGTTGCTTAAAAACCCGAAAACAACCCCAAAAACGTCCAGTTAAAGATACTTTCAAAGCTCGTCGAAAAACTGTAAAAGGAAGAAAATTAATTCGATTCATTTTGGATATCGCCATAAAACAAACAATCGCAAACTTTTGAGAAAGTGTGGCATACTGATCTGTGCGTAAAATATTGAAAGTTTAACTATTTCGAAAGAAACCGGCTGATACTTTCATAATTTCAAAACAAACTTGATGAAAAACATCAGACACTAACAGTGAACATTAATGAAACGTATTGCATCAATCAATCAACTCCCGTTCCGTCTTGCGATGATTCGCAAAATTCGCAAAAACACTAAAGCAAAAAACAGCCTTTTCTAATGCGTTCGCAGAATTTCCCAGTGAATGAAACACCTACAAATCAAATTTACGGTAATAAACAGGCACCGTTGATGTGTATCCAGTTAATTAGTTCGAGCAAACAGCAAAAAGAGTGATAAAACCCGTTAATTTTTTTCGCGAATTCCTCGAATGTTCTAGTCGCAATGATCCTCGTGACTCTCGTTTCCCGTTTACTTAAATAGGAAGTTTTTGGGACATTGAGTCAGCATTTACAAATTAAATGCACTGGAATTTCTCCCAAGCCATTGATGAGTTTGAGACGAACCTCCAATGCCGTCAAATTTAATCTGATTAATTCATATCACGCCCTTGGATATTACTGGAGAACATTTACGGCTACTCCACATAAAAGGCAATGGTCACAACCTTCGCTATTAATAACATGGACAACATGGAATATTAAGTCGTTTATTTTCGACTTGCGCCTATTTTTAACGCCTTTTAGGTGAGCTCGGCCTTATCCATTTCCGGGACAAAGCTGATATGCCCGGCAAGATATTCCTTGGGTCCTGGCGTTTTTTCCTGTGACGGTTACCAAAGCACCAACCTTGATTTAAAACCTTTGATTATATTAATAAACAATTTTTTTACTCATAAAAACGTGTTATTAACTGGCTTTTCCTTCGTATCGGCTAAACAGTTAATGATGTAACAAAAAAACCAACAAAACTGTTGTTTGCGCAAGGTAATTTTAGAATCTTCCAACACCCTAATAATTTATAGACGTGCAAGTAGATGATTGCTGATCTCTTTGTACTTGTATCAAAAATTTGCCATTTGATGGCGTCCAATCTGCCTTTACACACCTTGCAAAATAAAAAAATCAGCTTTGTTTCTTGAGGTCAGGCTGAATGGCACGATTAAGATTTACAATAATTACCGTTCAATTAGCATGGAAATTGCGGATTTCTAATAATTCAATTGACTCATCAGTAAATTTAAACCATCTAAAAGCAGAGATGGATTTTTTTATTTGCTAAGCTCAAACCAGATTTTTCCTGCTTAAAATGAGTCACTTCGTTTGGCAATATCGGCGCCAATTTTCAACCACATTGGAGGTTTTAAAGCGTGGATGATATAGAAAAGAAAATGCCACCGTTTTTACGTGAAAGCTGTTCATTTTCAGTTGGTTTTTATCAACATTTACAAGTTCTTATATTTTTCCTTTTCTGGGTTTCAGTCAAAATGTGAAGTGAAGTCCTTCACAACCTTTTGCGGTTTTCGGCTAACGCTGGAGAAAGTGGTAAAACAACTTGTAAATGTTAAAAACAACTGAAAATAAACTACCTTCACCTTAGAATGAATGGTGGCATTTTCTTCCTCATTTAAAAATAGCGACGTTAATATGCAATTTTCGATTGATATCGTTACAGCCTTGATGGGAAGAATGGTCGTTTAAAATTCAGACCGCCCGATATGAATTGCGAATTGGTACATTCCGGTAGTTTTGGAGGTTTGCGTTGTTATAACATGGAAAAAATCAGGAAGCACTGTTTCAAGGCCCCATTTGAAACCGCTTTACAAGTTCGATTGTCTGACAGACACTGTTGTGTACTGATGATAATGAATAAACCCACTTTTTTCGATTCTTAACGAGATTGTAGCTTTGGAGGTGATTGGACTGCTCGTAAACTGGCCTTATATAAATTGGAAACTGTTTGCAACCGAGTGCATAGGCACCTTTAAGGCAGCTAATAAGAAATTTATTGCAAAATTAGCCGATAATTGCAACGTCAAGATAGCGGGAACTGGTGCAATTCATATGCTAGCTCTAATGCTAACTTTTTATTCATTTATTTAAACATTACATCATGCTTGACGATTAAGTGTTACACCTATACGGTGCTAATCATAATCAGGAAACAGCCGACTTATTTGGCAAAGTGTTTGGTCTAATTGATGTGTTTAATGATCCAATTTTAGTCATGTCTTTCTTTCTCCGACTAGCAACAGACAGCTGATTGTTCTAGTGCGTAGTTGCAAATGACTCAGAAATCAACAGTGTTTTAAAGAATCTCAACATTCAAGGACTTTTGGAAACGTTCAATTATCACCTATCCATCAACTCGTTTTAAGCAAACCACTGTCTATCAGTAGTGGTGCGATAAATCAATAAATAAAAAAACCTCGAGCCTATAAAACACCCCATTACATCATGCCAACCGCACGAAGCACGTGTAGAAACCCCTTTACCTTTTCCAGATTGGATCGAAGCCGATTCTTCCTGTTAAATATGAATAAAGGTCGATTGAGGGTTGAAATGACGCAACTCCACGAAGTTCAAGGATTTGAATGTTGGAACTTTCGGTTTCTATTTGGGGAATTGGCCAAATGAAGCCCACGCGCCCAACTCAAGTGTGCCTCCATCAGCCCCGGAAAAAAAACCTTGGGACTATTAATAGGTGCGATGGACATGTTTAGTTTGGTCAATAAACAGTGAACTTTCAGAACGAACATAATAAAACGATTGGAGAAAGCCAAACAAACCAGACAATAATAATTACCAAATGAACTTCCTTCCCTGAAATCGATCCCATAAAGTAACTGAGTAACGCGATGATTCAACTAGCCGCAGTGTTTTCATGCGCTTTAGAATCGATTTTTTCCAAAACAAAAATAACTAGACGAGCAACACCAGGCTAATTGATGTTTCTTTGAAATTTATTATTGTTTGAAATCGAAAAAAACACGGTTTAGATCAATTGAAAACAACAGCTATGGCTCTTAATGATAAGTGGATGAAAGCGTATCCATTACGAATTACGAGCTTGCGAAATGGGACGAATAACTATCCACCACTGGAAGGACAAAAAGTCGATTAAAAATGACAAAATTGTCCCTAATTATGAGTTCTTCGTTACCGCGACCTCGTTAAATGAACGACCGAACCCAACCAGGTCTTTGACGAAGTCGTTGAACGTTCGAGTAACATTAACATGGCATGGCGCCTCATGTAAGGCCGATGCCCAAGGAAATCCTGCCTTTTTCCTGCTGCAATGTCGGTCTGATATGATTGATACTGACGCCTTTAACGAGCCAAAACTACTGATTTGTTCAATTCGAATTTTCAGTTATCATTGAGTTTTTCATTGTTTATAGGCCGGATTTGCCTACTTCAAGAGTGACACTTGTATATTTATTTTTCCATTGAAAATTCACTTCAACTGTGGCAATTTGGAGGATAAACCGTATCCAGACGAGAAGTTAATCCAGCAAGATTATCACCTGATCAAAGCCAGTGCCGGACTTTGTTTGCAAGTCAAACCAACATGATTTTTTGTGTGGTTTTGCGCGTGTTGCTTTGATCGTTTGAAGCAAATATCCAAAACTTCCTGAGCCAAAGGGCCGATGAATTGGAAATTAAAAATTGCAAACACTTACCCAGATGTGATAAATCGGATACATCGGAATCTGAAACAAATCAAAAAATTAACTACAGGAAAATCGCAATGAGCAAATGAAATAATACAAAACTCCACGAAACAAGTGGGCAAGGAACGATCCAGGCAGTCATTTTTGGTTTCGGAACAATGTCGCATCCAGAAACTGAGATAAACATCAGGTCCTGGATCGTTCGATAATTTTATTGGCAACTGTCGAGCCGATTCGATCGTCTAGCCAAATTAGTAGACATTTGCGAAAATATTCTTGGCACACGGGATTGAAGCGCATTTAATAAATATGTTATCGAAAAACGATATTATGATCTACGTGACACGTCTGCGGCACAAACACGGAAACGTTCCAAAATGACCAATTTCCAAAAAATGTTTACCAGTCATGTGATCACATCGCCTTCGACTTGAAAAACAATATTTTTGAACAGGCACCACATATTTTCAAACCGAAGTATTTGTTTATCAGGTATAATTTACAGAGTGACAATTTACAGAGAATCCGAGAAAAAATTATCGGAACTTTTTCGGTAATAAGTATCATTCTCAATTCTAACATTTTAAATGGCCAGCCACTACTTGTGAAAGCTCGTTTGAAAGCCTGAGCTTGTAAAAAACATTGTTTCAGGGTTATTTTTTAATTTAAATTGCCTGCAATTTTGCAATCGTAAAGCAAATTCGAAGAGCTCGTTGTCTTGCCACCCAGTAGATTGCAGTTTGAGAACAAACCACCCATAAAAAAGACCTCGTTTAAACCGAATAATCGTTCACTATTAAATAGGATTCAAGTGAAATAATTGCTGTATGCGCTTCATCAGATTTTTGCACAAACACTCTGAAATTCGTTGTAAATTGATTGTTTCATCTGCGCTGCACTTTGGAAAAAACACCAATTGAAAATCAGTATATTCCTATTAATGATCGAGCGATTTCCTTGACTCCTAATTGAAAAATTAATTGTCGGTATGGTCGAGAAGTGCCGCATAATGTTGCGATTATAATTGATTTTAAACGCATCAACTAAACGACTACAATATCGGTCAATTGGCCTCATATATCAACTGCAAACCGATCATGTGATTCATGCACACTTCTTAATGGGCATCAATTTTTCAATTTCACTAATTGAACTCGATTGCGTAAGTGCAGGATTGTGGAAAAGTTTTCCAGTCTAACTTAACGTTGTTTTCTCGTAAAATATATTTTTAAAACCACCTTGTACCAAAATACAAAGTAGATTGGCTAGAATTGACTACGCCATTACATTTTCAAGCGCAATTGGGACTTTTCCAACAATTTTTTGAGACGGCACATATAAAGGTGCAATAGACAGTGGCGTCACAACCAGGCCCAAATATCCACCGTGTATTTTTATTCATCGTCATCAAAGTGAATTGGCTCCAATGGACCGATACGACTTAAATTTACATTTGGAAAAAAACATTTTGCTATTAATTATATCAAAGAATCGGTCTTTTTGTATTGAAGTGTGCAATTTTTGGTCTTTTTCAAGCCTTCAAAGGTACATTTAGCCAAATTCCATCCAGTGTGTACACACTCATTCCTATTATTATACTATTAATTATATGGCGATTTTGTTAATTAGAGAAATTTCTGTTTTCTACAGATAAACCTGCAGTTATCCCGCAGCACATTCCGCCTCCCACCTAGTGAAAGTGCAGTTTGAACTGGACACAACTGGACGTTTCCAATTCCCTACCTACAAACATGTTTATAAGCTGGCGAATTAAATACACATTAAACTAAGAAAACGCTTTCGCTTGATTCAATTCAAAGCAAACAATTGGGTTGTTTGTACGCCAGTAAAAAAACTAATTTTTCCCGAAAAGCATCTAAAATAGCATGAGAAACAATTGTTATTGGGATTATTTTCGGATGTTTTGGCAAAAGTTCCACCGACCTGGAACAAGAAAAGTGTCACATGATGTTTCCTTGAAAAATAATGACGTCCAATGACGGTATAACAACAGCAATTTTGAGACACCACGACGTTTTTTGGAACGGTGTTGAATAACCGATTGTTTCACACAAAATTAAGGGCATTAATAATTTGAAACAAATTTTCCACGAGAAATTGAGAACACTTAAACCTCCTAACTGAAAAGTAAAGAATATTTTCACACGTGTGCTATACATATAGGTAGTGCTTCCGACCTAGAAAGCCTCCCAATATGATTGTTTAATTTGTTTGGGGCTATAATCAGAGGTATAGAAAGGGTCGATTAAAAATAACAAAAGCTCAAAATTGGCTTTAAATCGTTCGAAAAGGTCGATTATTTCGGATCTCACTGCGTTTTTTTAGTGAGTTTTTCAATTTATTGCTTTTGTGAGAATATTATGATGTACAAGTTGAAGCATTTGATGTGTTTTGAAAACATCTACCTCTACCCTCACGAAATTTTCGATCAAAAATCAAAATTTCACATGTATTTTTTTTTGAGCGAGATTGCTGCCGATCGCTAACGCTCAAAAACCGCTTAAACTCGGCAAAAATGTGTTTTTTCAATGAGCCCGTTGCGATCCTCGCTTCCTTGTGATGCAAATTTTACGAGAATTGATATTTTTTAGCTCCTAAAGATGCATATGTGAGTGCGATCAAATTAGGATTTTAATTGATTTGTCCCTCGTAGATGTTCTTGAGTTCAATCCTCTGCTGTCTCAACTTTGAGTGTTTGGATTCTTCTGAATTTAGTAAGGAAGACACATGCTGAACATCAGAAATCGATTTTTTTATTCAACAACGTTACATGGTAGTTCCCCAGATAATCCAAACCATCTAATTCGCTTGAAAATGTTATTTTTAACCACTTTTTTTAATCTCGTCCATCGTTTTACACGTTCATGACAAAACCGACTGAACTGACGTCGTTTGAGGTGAGTCACTACGAAAAATCGATATTTTCATAGCGAAAAATCTCGAACAAATCGAATAAAATGTCCAGTTAACGTGCATAATCTAAATAATATTGAAAATTCGACCGTTTTCTAAATAATCACTTTTGGAAAGGCGATGATTTTAACATTGGACAGGCTAAGAGGCAATTTATTGAACTTCTAGTTGCAAAATTATGATGGCCATTGGCCTTACCAGCAAATCCCGTTAATAGCTAGTCTGGTAAACATTTCAACGACAGAACGCTAAATTTGACGGGATTTTCGATATTTTTAGGAATGAAAACGATTAACTTGAGTCATAAAGCTGAATGCAACGAACAGCTCAAGGTTCCGCTCAGCTCTTACTATTCGCAATAATTCCTAAATCGTGCAAACGCAAAAAAATTCACAAAAACTACGAAAAATATTAGAACTTTTACGGCTTTAAACTAGTAAAAGACGTTAGTTCAAACTAGTTGTTCTATCAAAGATCTACTAATTGAAAATCATCACAACTTACATGGTGTAAAATAGTTCATACCTGTCGACATCTGAAAACAATGCAGAAAAAGTAATTGAATAACCAATTCAACAAAGTAAATGTCTGATTACAAATTACCAGTCCATGGTAACTAATTCATCTGCTCATATTCGCTTAGCCAATGGATTTACAAAAATGAAAATCCACGCCGCTATTCATTTTCTGATACCTCTGAACCCCACAAATCAGGGCTCGTCGACAAAAGCGGTTCAAAATGCCCTACCAGAAGAACAGAAGAAACGGACTTTAAATACGAGCTAAAGAGTTTGGAGTGAGGATATTAAAAGGCCAGATGGGCTGCAGGAAGAGCAATTTATTTATTATTGATTTAGGACTCTTATCATAATAAAAATAATCGTAATCGCATTTCTTCAGTGCGTACTACGGCGGAGTTCCACAGCTAGTACCCATTTACTAAAATGCCACATCAGCCAAACAGCTTGCTTGCGAGTCTAATGATCGCAGTAAGCTCAATAATCAAAAAGGAAAAAAAGAGAACTGTAGTAACGTTACGAGTTAAGTTGAACTCGTTTCTTTTATATAAACAAATTGAATATTTTGACAAACACCCTCACCTTGTATCTAGAACTGCAAATATAGGGGCACAATCACTCGACTGTTCAACTTCTCGAAGAGATTACCAAAGCTTTACTGACTTCATTTTTCAAATATCGGAACAAACCACCCCCTAAAACTTTCGCATCCTTGCAAAGAAGGTCCGTTTAGGCACAGCCCGAAACAGGTAGTTTACAAACACTGCTCGGGACGTAATTTTTCATTGTCCACAATATGTGTGAGTGCCTTATTGTTAACACATAGTTTTGGAACCAATAACGCAGGTAGGAATATAATAGGGATGACACGAAATATTTGTCACAGGTATTTTGGAACAGATATCCATATGGAACAGTTGGTATCTGTTATCGATATTTAAAATAATATGTGATTTGAAATAACAGGGCTCGCCAGGGTGGCCATTCGTACGGTAATTTGGGCAATTGTACGGTGTAGGTCCCGAACGCGTTACCGTACCCCAATTGTACGGTATTTTGGTTATTTTTGTAAGGTATTGTACGGTAAATATCACGAGACCTTGCTTTTAACCACTGTGAAGACTCTTTTCATGCAGGGGCGGATCCAGCTTTAAAGTCAGGGGAGGTTATGTAGAATAAATACAGTCTTCTTGTCTATGAAATTAGAAAAATTATCGTCGTTTTGTGCAAGGGTGGCGCAAGATTACTGCAAAATTTCGTGTTTTCCGTCCCGTTTTGCATGTTTCTCGGAAGCAAAATGAGCAACAACGCTCGTTTTTACATCATACCAGAGATAACTAAATGGCCTTTATTCGAAGTTTCTCAAGAACCATTCAAGCCACAGAATTCGTTTTGGCATCGTTGGATAGAGAATTGAAAAGTCGATTCAGTCCTAACAACGTGAGTGAGGAAATTCGAATAGTTTTGGCCCAGAAAGCGAAATTTGAATATCAGACACTTAGGTGCAAGATTATGCACATGTTTTTCGAAGTTTCTCAAGAACCATTTGAGCCACAGAATTCGTTTTTGCATCGTTGGATAGAGAATTGAAAACACGATTCAGTCGTAACAACGTGAGTGAGGAAAATCGAATAGTTTTAGCCCAGAAAGCGAAATTTGAATATCAAACACTTAGGTTCAAGATCATGCCAAAATTTCATGTTTCCGTCCCATTTTTGCTCATTTCTCGGAGGCAAAATGAGCAAGAACGCTCATTTGTACATCATTCTAGAGAGAAATAAATGGCCTTCTTAGAAAGTGAATGATCGATAAGGAAATGTTGGCAGTTTTCTCAACAAATGCTTGAATTCAAGAAGTTTTAGATTTGCGTGGTTTTTTTTTTAGTTGCAAAATCCACTTGAACATGACGCTGCTTTTTTCCAGGTTTCTCAAGAACCATTCGAGCTAGAGAATTCGCTTTGGTACCGTTGGATAGAGAATGGAATGCCGCCCTTGCCTGATACTATTTTGTTCAACGCTCTATATGCTTGACATGAGCACAAAACAAGAGAGTAGAAACCTCCCATATCTTATTTGGTCTAAAGGATTTAGGAGTTTCAATAAATAATCGCTTCCAACACTAGTTGAATCGATAAAAATCGCTAAAAGAAATCGAACCTTGCATCATGCGAGCTCCCTACCAATCGCGGCTAAACCCGGCTAAACTAGGTTTATATGCAACCAGGTTACTAGGTGCCTGTTATTAAGCGAAAAAGTACCAGCACACTAATCTGACCAGTACCAGTACAAATGTTGCACATTCATTGTGTGTGAAATGTGCTCCGTTCATATCATACAAAAGCAAGGCGAACCCAACACGAGGTTGAGACTGATCGCCTACTGTCTATTACAACTTGCAACGGTACTGTTTTGTTTATTATTTTGCTGTTTATTTATAATTTGTTGCTATGCAAGCCAAACTCTAATAGGTCACGCAAGGCAGGAGCGTCATCAACCTGTTGCTTGGAGCTTGGGAAAATCCTTGCAAAAGGGGTTTTCCTTTATTTACTGCCGTGACACTTCAGCAGGATTTACTACTAATCTTCCACACTCAAAACCGTCAAGTTGGATCGTCAACAATTGGGAAAATTTGTTTTGTTAAAGTCGTCCTCAAATGTTAAGTGCGAAGAACCGAGCGGGTGATTTAAAATTGCGTAATCCAAACAGTTGAGGATATTAAAGGCTAAAAAGACTACCAACGAAACGCGGAGGGCTAGAAATGTTTTTAAGTGTATATTGACTGACTTGCTACCAAGTCGCTTTGCATTGCTTTATAGATAAAAGTGAATTTTTTTTTTAACTAAAACACGCCGACGGGCCGTGGGCGACATCTGCTCTTTGAGAGCCTAACTACAACTAGAGTAATCAGGAGATAGAAACCCAATCTACGGTTTGTTCAAGACATACTGGAGACATCTAGGCTTCATCGCGCGAACTACTAAGGAGCAGGCTGCAGGAAAAGTACGGCTGTATAAAGTCGGTAATATTAGCGGTTGCAATATAGATGGCGACACAATTTTGCGTTCGCCATCCAACCAGCACCGGATTCACCAATAATATTTAGTGGATGCGCGTCAAATATATGGAAAATATTAGCGATAAAACAGTAAACTGTTGAACAGTTTCCAATGAATCGTAAGAGCATATGAGATTGTTTTTTGGTTCAATCAAAAATATTCCTGAATTTTCTCAAAAGAATATTTCTCAAAACTAAATTTTCTGTTTTATACCAAGAAACTTCTGCTAGACACTGGCATTTTTAAAACTCAAACCCATTTCATAATTCTCATTTTTTAGCAAAAATTGAGGACTAGCTTCAGAAATTTTGCAATTTAAGATAACCAAAAATAACCTTCAGTTGCCAGATTGCTAAATTAAGAAAAAAAAAAACGACTTACCAGTGTCGTTAGGGAATCCCTGTACTGGTTCGTCACTGTAGCCCTCCCCTTCATTAGACATAGCTGAAAGAAAAACAGGAATTATTAGATTATTAATCTTAATTAGAGTAATAATTAAAATCTTCAATTTCGTCTATAAAGTCATAGAAAATGTATACAGGGTGTTCACCTTCAAGATACTGCCTAAATGACTTTTAAATCATCATTGGCACTTAGTTTTTTTTAACTTTATGATATAAACTCACTGTATTCACATGAGAAATACAGCCATAGCTTGAAATTATTAAGTTTTTTACCTTCGAAAATGCAACCTACTCGTGTTTGCCAAACATCAGCAAAAAAGAAGTTTGAAGCAATATCCGGGAAATCTTAAATCTTTCCATTTCCACTCCCGACCAAGAATAAATTTTGCTGAAAACTATCCATATAATTCATATTCGAAGTATCTCGCATCTTTCGGCTGACACCCTGTAGAATCGATCGAGCTAAGCATATCTGCTCACTTATTACCACACAGTTTGCCAAAATGTACATCGTTTAGAGACTTTTATATTCGTGTTATTTTCGCTGTTGTAATTTTCCGGTTATGACCAGTCGGATAATTATTGACAAATCGGCATTTTATGCAAATGATCTCTCCAGAATTTACATAAATATGCTTACAAGTGTCACTTGAGTATTCAAGAGTTTATGGTCATGGTGCGAGTCGCCTTTGGGCCTCCACAGCCAAGTTAAATGCTAATAAATTGTAAGAAACTGTTAGATTTTTATTTAAAAAAAACTAATTTTTCAACTGAAAATCAACCTACTTTATATTTCCGACGATGACATCATGGAAAAACTCTGCTAACATTACTAGCCATAATTTAAATGACTAAAACAATATACTTGTGCTAGGAATCAATCATTATCAATTTTTTGGTACTTTAATGAGTTAATTTAGTATCGCACACAGATATTGTGCACGCGCACTCTTGAACAGTAAACAAGATAAACTATATAAAACATCAGACACATCATGGCCCTAACCTTTTATATAAAGGCTATATGGGTCATTGACAAAATAAAAACACTAATATCAAAATCAGGCTTTTTTAATATTTGTAAAACTTACAAAACGCACCTTGAGTGGGCAAACAATGCAAACTCAACTCTTGATAGTGTCTGAATAAAATAACTGTGTTTATCTGAAAATAAATATTGTCTGTTTGCTTACGAGAATGGTAAATTAACCAACTGCATGCGTAATGTCTAAAGGAGAACAGTAGCAGCTGCGTCTGTTCATTGTTTTTATATTGGTTCTTATTTGATCTCTTTCAGTTTTTATTTGCAAGCACGCAAACATCTCAAACCTAGTTGTTCATCTGTTTAGGCAGCCAAAAAAGTCTACGATATAAAATGCAAAATTTAGTTCAAACTCTAATAAATTGACAAAAATCAATGTGCTTCTAGAATATTGCTTCATTCCCGCGCTACTTGCCAGATATTAGGCATTTGAGCATTTACACATATAAAACCTTAATAGTTTTATAACTCATGTTTAAGTATAATTGGCATTATTTATTTATTTATTTATTTGGATTTTTTATGGATTTAGAGTAACATGCTTTGGGTGGGCCTAATTGTTAAAAGAATCAAAATGAACTAATTTTAAACGATAAAAGGTGATTATAAAAATATTAAATAAACATTACGTAAACGAGCTAGAAATGAGCAGAAGACAATCCACCATTGCCGGAAGAACGATTTCATTCTATGACTCCTTGGTATTCCGCAGACGCGTTTTCCTCTATCTGCTCTGGAAATAAATTATCTATGTATTCTTATCAGCGTTTTAATTTTTACTTCATTTTGGTCTCCTTTATGATGTTTCCTTGTTTGTCTAAAAGTATGTTCGATTTCTTCATTCTTTCAACTCCTGCTAGTTCATTGATCTTTTTGTGTAAATTAAAATTGTCGTATTTACTTAAAAATCTGATAACATATCTTTTTACTTCTCTCATTTTGCTTCTTATTTCACTTTGAAGTTGTTTCCTAGCCATCTTACAGCACTTTACTAGATGGAAGCAGATGATTTAGTGGATGCATTTTAAATTATAAAAATTTCCGGCTTGACTAAACAAGATAATACGTACATTTACAGAAATTCTCCTTGATTCCCTGAGACACCATTCATTCGTATCCGATCAATTTGAACTTGAACAATAATATTAGGAGCTAGTTCCGATTGAAACGACAGCATAGGAATGGCAATACTTAAAATCAGGGTTATTTTGCAAAAGTCATCGGGTCAAGTTTGCCTTCATTGTCTTTGGAGCGACTAATTGTGAGGACATTTTTTCCTAATTGATAGACTATTTCCTGGTTGGCAATTCAGTGTGTTTATGAATTAAACATCAGCACTGGTTTGGAATTTTCCCAAAAATGTTGCACACTCACTACAGTAGAAGAGTCTCATGATTTAATGTTGCTAAACTAATTACATATTTGTATTGCCATTTATCAGACATGTAATCATTTACAAACCAAAACCTAAGTAAAGAAGATATATTTATAAACTATTACAAAGAAAAATGTCATAACAGTTATTTACACTTAGTTATAATTTACAAACGTTTTTCGCAGGCACCCAATCCTAGAAGCGCGTTGAATGGAAAACGAAGAAGATTTAATTCTAGCACTAATTTACATTTTTGTATGCAGCTAGAACCGCACCTTAGAAGACCACAAGCATGTTTTTAATATAGCAATCCTTCCTTGATTGAATTGTTTAGAAGAACGTTAGAACCAAATTCCTATCAACGGCAGCCGAAAAACCCAAAATGCCGGATAATTTTTTATTTTTTCCTCTGAAGATGCATGCTAGCATCAGGATCAAATTCCTATCGACAACGGAAGAAGCCAAAAATCTCCACTTCTTTCCGGCCGATAGCCGCCTAAACCTTAACTACATATTTCATAATCGTTTCTTTGTTATTTGAATAGGTGGATTGTTAAAACAATGTCTTGCATATCCGTATTCATATACTGCATAAATGAATAGCGCGCAGAAGCCTTGAATTAAATATCGAAATAACGCGGATTACTTCCGCTGAATTATGTCGGTATAATTTATGCAGTAATTACGGTTTAGCCTATTAAATACTAATTGTTTTCTGAAATTTATTTAAATTGCCACACATTAATCAGATAAATCTGTGTGTGTGTGCGGGGGGCTAAAAAGGAAATAAAAATTGCCTTGTTTCCTGATTTTGAAATTCTGGTTCGGTAATCAAATGAGTTGAAAACCGAGTAAACAGACGTAATCTTCATTTTTTTGCGAATAAGCACACAATGATTTGATGCTTTTATGGTCTAATTGTTTATAACGACAGTTAATGATAAATCTTTCGAAAACGTGATAGAACCGTGTTGAGTATGTTTAAGAGTCGCTAAACATATCCCGAGTTAATTTCATGCAAATTCCATAACTGATGGTTAATGGTTATTTATCAGACTTTATTCCGTCACGGCATTACTAACTAATAGCCTGAAAGTAATCGAAGAAAACTCATTAAACGCCCATGATGCGGTGAAATAACCAACGGCAAACAGCTATAATTTCATCAGCAATTAATTCTACGTTTCCATTCCTCAACTTGTTCCTGGCTTCCTTTCTCGGACTCTTTAAAGGCCCTAAAATTAAATTTCTGTTTGCTAATTCTCCATCTGTCATTAGCCACGATAATTGGTTGTTATCATTAAACCATTTTTTTGCCGTAAACTAGATAAAATTACAATTGGCCATTCAAGGTGAGTTATAAATAAAACACTGTTACAAATTGTTATAGCACGAAAGAGAATAAAACTTCATCATCAGACAAACAATGCATCGACCTTGCCAGCTGCGACTTGATATATTCTATATACCTAAGTAGTTTGAAAATTGATTAATTCATTATTTAGGTTTTTTGGTCTAGTTCTAGTTCTTTGGGACGGTTAAAATGCCAAAAGCCAACTTGCGCAGCTATTTTTAGATCTGTTTGGACTTTGAGCGAAATTCCAGAAAGTATGAACATAATTTAAGGAAAAATTTTTATTTACAGATAATTGCATAAAAAATCGATTAGCAAATCCTGGTGCTTTACGACATCTGATTTATACTGTTGCATCTGTTGACAACAATAAAAGGTGGTTCAATAATCACACATTAATAAAGATAAAAATGGAAAGCAGGTAATTTAATATGCTTGATATACCAGGGGACAATTGAACTTAAATGACTGGGAAAGTGAACTTTCAAATCACTTTTCCCCAACTTTACACTAACAAGGCCCACTTTTGCCCAAAACGTTTCGCACAAAACATCCCAATAAACAAGAAAAACTCTTCTTGCTTCGCCTGCAACAGCATGTTTCAATTCAACGCCGAGTTTCGATGGCTTTTATTTGTCATTAAGCCTTGGTAAATATCTGCGGGTTTTTTTCTATCCATTGATTTTTCCACTTTCGGCAATGTCACTGCCACTGAACGGAAGTACCTTAAACGCGCTACTGTCACCTGAATGCTTATGGGAAATTAATATGTGACTGTTTTTGATTTATTGTCGACAGGAGGTTGAATAGCTGAAATTTCGTGCCAAACCGACCTTGGTGTATGCAGTTCGCACTAGCGAGAAAATTGAAGAATTCATGATGGGAAATCGTGCTAAATCAAGGCTGTGAAACCCACAAAACCACGTGAAAACGATTTGCATAATCGGCTGATTAATTCCAAACAAGTTAAACCGGAGTATTCATTTCAAATCCTGGATATCCAGTAGATCCTATAGGGTTGCTCTGCATATGATCCGGTCGGTTTCGTTCAGCCGACTGGCTAATTGGTCGAAAGTTGATTGTCCCAATAAGCTAAATGACACCGCTAATAATTCGAAAGAATTAATTACATATTGGGACAGTGAAATTCCCCGAACGAACTAAAGACCCAACCCAGTTTTCGCATGTCTGACCAGATAACCGAAAATGCTAAAGAATGTCGGATGGTCGCTCCTTAGAAAATGTCTGCGTGACAGAAAACGTGGTAATTGATTCGAACCGGCCAGAAAGAAGTATATGTAGGTGAAAACAATGAAGAAATGATTTTGCCTTCCTGCAGCTCTAAAAAAACCGAAAGTGAACTGAAAAAATAACTTTCCATATCTTAAATATCAAAAAGTCTTTCAAATCAATAGTTATGCCATCGTGGCCATCTGAAGAGAAACGTCAGGAAGCTTCCCCATTTTACCTCTAGAAATTACAGACTTAGAAAAGCCCATTAAACGTTAAATCAAAATTAATCCCGCCAATGACGTCGCAATCATAAAGTGGATTAGAACCAAATCCCCCGATAATCTTCAGGTTTACAACTTTCAATCACGAATTTTGCTTAAAAACTTTAGAAAAAACCAACCGTTTTCGAGAAAAATAACCATTTAGAAAAACACTACAAATTATCAGACTCCTGCTAGGTAGTACCTACAACCTTACAATGTTCCATCGCGAATTTGGCTTAAAAACTTTTGAAAAAATCAGCCGCTTTCGAGAGAAATAACCAGGAACATCGATGTATTTGAGTTCAATAATAATCGCCCTCTCATTAAAAAAAACTACAAATTATCAAACTCCTGCTAGGTAGTACCTACAACTTTACAACGTTCCATCGCGAATTTGGCTTAAAAACTTTTGAAAAAATCAGCCGTTTTCGAGAGAAATAACCAGGAACATCGATGTATTTGAGTTCAAGAATAATCGCCCTCTCATTAAAAAAAACTACAAATTATCAAACTCCTGCTAATAACTTCAACAGGCTTTCAAGGAAACAACAATTCAATTTCCCAACTAGATGCCCGGTGTCAATTAGCGTCCGAAACATCCACATAATGTGAACCGACAATTACCATTAAAATTAATTAAAACAATGACAAAAAAAACGCATCTACAATGGGAAGTCTAAAGCCAAAAATTAATCACAATGAAACTGGCATCCAGTTAACAAAATACTGTTTGAAAAAACGAGTGCCATTTAAATGTTAATTAGAAAAGTGCAAACGAGGTAATTGAGTTGGAGTTGGATTTTGCTGTTTGTCGCTAAGTTGACAACTATTGTAAATATTTACGTTTGAACACCAGAAAACCGTAGTTAATCAACAGATAGGCCGCAAAACAACATCTACGTTAGTTTACTTTATTTGAGTAATAATGTAGACGCAGATAGGTGTTTCCTGTGATTTGAAAACATATTCGTCATTAATTATCTGCGTCAGTGGTCAACTTGTTTACTTCCACTTTTTACTGAAGTAATAAAATAATTCAAAATTTGAAATAATATTCCGAACCACTGTGTAGACATCGGGAACTAAATATTAAGCTCTGCAGGTGCAAATATGCGAAAAACATGCTGCTAAAATTGATAACAAATTCATTTAGAAACCGCCGGTTGAGATCAAGTGTACCCAATCATTATCATCGGGAATTAAAAACAAATTAGTTTTATGCGGGCTCAAAAAAATCGTGTTGTGATATCTTTGAGATGATTTATTGAAATTCCTCAAGCAACGCAGAACAAATCACGTACGCGGCATCAGGAGTAGGTATTTGGCACATATCAGTCGAAATCCTCAGGGAATTAGAGTAGGATATTTTACTCTGCGACCTAATTAAACTTCAGACAATAATTCGCTAATTTATCCGCAAAGTTCACCCAATTTTCGTTGTAAAGTCTTTAATTCTGCGCGTCTCAACTGCTGTTGAAAAATGCACCCTAAATTAACTATAGTCTGTTTCAAGCGATTTGACAGTGACGTCATATTGAAATTTACTCAAGTCCGAGATTGGTTCCAAAAATGCGCTTTTGACGTGGGAAACGTTCCACGGAAATCATTATTATTCTATATTACGTTCGGACATCACTGAGCAATGCAAAATAAGTTTTTCAATGCAATGCAAAATGCAAATATCAACACCTACCGTCATTCAACCGGTAAAAAGTTTATTGAAAAACTACTTTTGGACAAAAGGAGCAGCTGTGAAACAGAAATGTTGAAAATGCGTAAAACTTTCCACTACACAAGAGAAGAAAAACAAGATTTAAACTGCAAATTTTCCGAATAAATGCTGAAAAGATAAAACATTAAAGAACTGTTGACACTCTACTCCTATTGGAATTCTTGCCAATTTTATTATATTCGAGTCATAATTCTTTTGCGGCTGAAGTTGAAGTACCAGAATTAAACACAGGGCGTGTGGAAATTCAATTTGATGAGTTGATGATCATGGAAAAAATATTTAAATCTACGCATTGGCCGAAGCTTAATTATTCTAGGCTGCAATAGCAAAATTTGTGTCTGATTTCTCAAGAATTCGTGCGAGTGTTTTCAAAATTGTTTAAAAATATGTGAATGTAGTTAATATTCTTATTCTTCATGGATATGAACGACACGCACAATTCCGCTCAATTAAATTTTAAGTCCTTCAAATCATTTCATTACGTAAGCAAACCGAAAATGTTCAATAAAAATATGCATTTTTTATCGAGAAATGCTGATTTATCACAAGTTTCCAACGAAAGCTTTGAAATGGGCAAAAGTTCCCTTGAGACTTTAAGACTAAGATTTCCGAGCTTTTTCCTGGGCTCCGCGCTTTCCGAGCTTGAGCGTCTCTCTGTGATTTGAAAGATTTTGTTGAATCAGATAATATTTTCATAGCACGGTTTTATGAAAGTTTTCTCAAAAACTCTTATTTTTTATTGTTGATCAATTAAACATTCGTCTTAGTACTGCCTGATGCAAGTGCGGAAATTTTATTTTTCTCTGCAAAAGCCAATTAATTTTCTACAAGAGCAGTCGGCAATATGGTTTTTCACTGATTTTAAGCTGCAAAAGTGAGATAAAATTTGGAATTAAAAATTAAATGTAAACAACTAATTGAGAAAATAAATCAGTTGCATTATTAACTTGCCTCCATTGTGCCTGGCGTTAACTGTGAGCGTTAAAATGTGACATTTTCGTGGTGGTAAAGCTGCATTTAGATTATGAAGAAAATGGAAGAAGGTCTAAGGGATGGTGGTGAAAATATGAGCAAAATGAACAGCTGTTCGCCCCACAATATTGCTTAGGAATTTACCACTTAAGAAGTAACACGTACACAAATGCATGGGTAAATTGAAATGATAACTTGAATGAATTCACAACTGCCGACACACGCCAGAGAAATAAAATCAATCATTTTAATAATCTTCCATACATGCGCAAATTGTAACAATTTGATGAAAGACTTACGAAATAACATAAAATTTTCGTCGCTCGGTGGACCAGCAACAGAAAAAAAAACGACAATAATTGCATCACTGCAAAAAAACATGATTAGAACCGATGAGTATCGGATAAAACCCGAAAGATTCGATCTCCATTCATTAAAAACTCGTTGTCGATAGTGAAGCCAATACACGGTTCATAAACACGCCCGACTCTCCAAACACCTGAGCAGGAATGGCCTTGACATTGTGGTTAAGATGTTACGTAAAGGTCTCTCCTTTCGGCATAGTCGGTTTCTTCTAGTCTTGCCCAAGTCCCATTAGACAGCTGCCTTTTAAATTTCAACAATTCAATGTTTTCACTACCAAATTGGACTGGCCAAACGGGTTTCCATGGTGCGACACAGTTGTCCCAATGTCAATCATGTCACTTCCGTGCTTGTTCAGGAAACTGCTGAAGAAACTGAAGAAAAGCATCAGCAACAGAAGGCCGATATCGAAATGGCTGCTCCGCCTGCCCAGGGGCCTGTTTCCTAATTATCGGGTGTTAGTCAACAGTGTTATCGTCGAATCCAATCGACGAACTCTGCATTTCATCAGTGATGACCCTTTGGAAGTGAGTGAAGAGTCGTTTTCCAGTGGCAACGACTTCCAGCTCCAAACCCAGGACGAAATGGGAAGAAATTGCTGCAAACATTGTCGCCAACTGTGCAACCCCACAGGGCGTTTGACTAATCGCCCCATCAGGACTCTCCCTATTCTTACAAATCATTCAACACCCATCCGGGCTTGGTTAGAAAATGTGGATGTCGCTGACATACCACCGCCCCCACCAATGCCCTCCAGTGGAGACGAAATTAAAAATCACACTCCTTTAAGAAGGTTCACTGTTTCAGACATTCGATCTGTCCAGGTAAAACATCGCAAAAGAAATGGAAAAGTAAATTAAAAAGCTTGTTAAGTTAAGGCCCACATCGACCAAGCTCGACCTGCCCAAAACCCCAGACGTTCACGATATGATGGCTGTTTTACGAAGACGGTTTGCAGCCATCCATTCGCCCATGGTTGACAGCGTAGTCCGGGTAAGCAGCGACTCTGAAGAAGACACTTTCGGGTTTCACTGGGATGTTTCCAGGTTGTCATAAAAAATGAAAAACTGTACCTAAACCATATCTATGTTCTACTAGTTAAGCTGCATTAAATACCAAAAAAAGAGATTTGAGCATTTTTTTAAACCCAGCTCTAAAAGGAGTTTTCAGGGGAACCCTGAAGGAAAATTAAATAATACTAACCGGGGAACCCCTGTAACATAAAGGCGGTCGGGTGCTGCAGTTTTCCTCACCGACGTCAACCTATTGCCATGGAAACCGATAAAACACCAACAAAACGAGCGAAATACCAGGGCGGGTGCATAACTAATTATCTAGCCTTCAATGGATTTGACTACAAGCAACAAGATTTCCATATAAACTCCCTGAGGCACACAGGGTGGCCCAACTTGAAAATGTGCAACTCAAAGCATCCAACTGCAAAGCAAATGCGCCTCGTATCACTAATATCTTAATAACACTGGCAAGTAAAAGCCATGAAGCAACATATGTTCACGCGAATAGTTTTACGCTGATTTAATTAGCTAAAAATCGTTACGTAACCAATCAGGCACTTTCTTCGAGAAAGTTCCGGATGTCAAACGCATGTTCACTTCAGATGCATTTTACTTTTAAAAGACACGATAATGCAGAAGGAACAGTGAAAATAATTGAACAGCTTGTTCGGAAATCAGGTGAGGTGAAATGACGGTCCCCGGAGTGCCGACAAACGCCAGATCGGTCTCCGAAAAACAAGTTGAAGAATTTAATGAATGAACGAGAGAACGGGTCACGTAAGGGCTTCAGGAATTCACCGGTCAACGCTTCTTTAATAGCCCTTAAGAATGTGAGAAATTACCGGCATTTGGTTCAAAAAACGGTTTTGTGTTGGCAATTTTAAACGTTTTACCGAGCCGTTTTTAAGCAAATATCTAGAGAATTGGCGAAGAATGTAAGCAGCCCAATTCCGACAGAAAATCCTAATTATCGGAACTTCCGCTTTCCCATTTACATATCACGGTCCAAAGTTGAACCAGCAATTAATTACCTACACAATTTGATGGTAAAAATCCCACGTAATCATACCAGTAGGTACGAAATAACGACAAAACAAATTTGTTACACTAGTAATCAGTCGCAATAACTAAATTATTAGAATAAGGATGCAAAAAAGCTGAAAACCTTCCAGTAATTCTCCACAGTCAACATTTCTCAATTCCATGAAAAAAAAACTGAGGAAATCACCCAGATATATACGCCCCAGGATGATCAATAAAGGTTGACATCAGTTGCTGTTGTTGTCTATTTTTATTTAAAACTAATGATTGCAGATTGATTGAATTGAAAATTAGACACTCCCAAGAAACGAGAGCAACTTGTACTTGCAAATCAGCAAGTTAATTATGGACTTGATGGTTGTTCTGAGTCACAGCTCACATTAGTGAATTTCATTTGCGCACTGAGTCTAATGATCATTTTCCTTTACCATTGGGCTGCTCATTCGCATAACAATAGATCATAGCAGAATTAGTCACAGGATCGTCTATCATTGTCAGTCCGGCAAACAAATAGTTTATTGTTCTAAACACACCATTTTACTGTGTGAAATCGCACCTTTTAGCCCATAAATATTAATTTATCTGTACTGAAACCACAAATGACTTCTGCTGAATTAAGACCAAAAAAGATACCAGCGCAGGTAGGTACTCAGTGACATCATCATCCTACTCTATATGCCTTTTATGATAATGACGTCCCCCACGCGAATAGTCTGAAGGATAATCCTTGCGATAACGCCAAAAAACAATCAAGAATCAATGAACTAAAGAAGGTAGAAAGATGTTTTGAAAAAAAGTCAAATAACTGCCGCTTTAAGGCTAGGAAAACTATGACTTAAAATGCACCCATAAAGCTTCATCAAACCAATTAATTGCCAAAAAACCGAATTCGTCCACGTTCAGATTAGATAATGATACAATATTATAAGCGGGCACCAAAGCAGAATGTCAACGAGCTTATTAATGTCATGTGATGAACGTAATAAAAACCAAATGACGCTACTTAAACCCAAAGTCGAAAACAGTTCAGCACGTGAGCGAATTTAATGTCTAATTTCGTGCTTTAAACCATTTATTGTTATTGACAATTGTTTCGGCCCAATTCGGAATGAATGCGACAAAGATAGGATCTCGCCGCTTATATAAGGGATCGCACATCGAGAACGGACTCCATGAGTAAACGTGCCAAAAATACTCAATACACGCGATTGTATTGTAATAATCAGAAAAACACCCACACCTGTTAATTGTATGCTAAATGAAAAAAACCACAAAACTATAGAGCAACCCCTGTAACAACTAAACCGATCGAGGGTCACGATGACATCCGATTACCATAGAAACTAACATACAGCCCACAAAACTGACGGAATACCAGGGCTGATGCAGAATGTCTTTAAAAGCGGTTGATTAAATTCTCGATTAATTCCACTTATTCTCCCAGCTGATCCCATCTACATTTAAGCTACATTATTTTCTCACTTAGCACGGTGGAATTATTCGAAATGGCCTGCCGTGATTTGACACAATTGCAGGTAGCACCATGACCAATGGCTTTTCAAACAGGAACTTGTTTGGTTTGGTATGCTCACTTTTTTTCAGCTTTTCTATATAAAGGAGGCAGCTGCTGAAAACCACACTGGTCGCCTTGATGTGTAGTAAACAATCACATTTTTTTTAAATTTCAGTAAAAACATTGCATAGAAACAAGCTCAGTTTTCGAAAACTCACCTAAGATTGTGAGTTTTAGGCAAGTGCATCTAGTTGATATAGAAAGTGTTACAAAAATATAGAGACAACTTTAACATTGATTTTAAACGTATATTCGAGTACAACAAGTGTATTGAGACAAGAAAAAAATTTTCAAAAGAAAAAAATTTGTCTTTTAAGTTGATTTACCTACAAAATGAAATTTGCGAAAAACAGCGCGTGCCACTTTTAAATCAATTTTTCAACAAAACAGCCTTTTGATTTCGGCTACCTTTTGCTCTACAATAAAGCTGTACAAATATAAAATAGACCGTTAAACTCATAAAAACGCTGAAAAGTGCATATAAACATGTCCAGAAACGCTTCGTTTCCAAAATAACAGCTTTTGAGATATTGACTTAAAATGTAGAAAGCAGGCAGTGATAATAATGAAAAATTGATCCTCAGTGCCTGTTTTTTCAAGACAGCGTTCGAAAAATTTCGAGCAAACATTCATTATTTTGCAATTAATCCGAAAACCGTGGCATATATGATGTTAACGCTAGACAAAAACATTTCTAAATCGAACAGGGAATTAGAAAAATAAAATGTTCGGCTTGAGTGGTGCACCGAAAGCAGTTCGGAAGGATAAAACTGACCAAAAGCCAACAAAAATGTCATCCTGTATATTCTTGCAACCGCATAACAGAAACGTAAAGCAAACTTCCCTAAAAAATTAGTTTCTGAACTAAAATTGAAGACAAAATCGTCAAAATCAACGACACTGATGCAAACATTCAGACTTTTGTCTATTGAGTCCTGATTTAGCGAAACATCGCAAAAAGTGTCGCATAAGGTCAATCGAGCTCACCCTACCAAATATTGAGTTTCAGCATGCAATGGAATAAAATAGGCAATCGTTAAAGGAAAATGACCTTAATAAATCTGTAGAAAGGGAGATTCTGCCATGGCTATAAAATTGCTTAATCAGTGAGGCACTTGTGCGTAAAACTATGGCAATAAAATTGAAACTATCTCATTATGAAAGGGATGGCAAAAAATGAAGGCCGCAGGAAGGAAAAGAGCCAAACAACATGAAACTACAATTCTATGAATTCACTCTTAATTCCGCTGATAGTCAACGTTTAGATGGTGGTGGACAGAAAAATTCCGTTAAAATTCATTACCAAACAATTTGTACTTTTCAGGTTCCAAACTGGTTTGGGTCGAACCTAATTAAGAAGACTGTTTATCGAGTGATTCCAGCAACGGGTTGATAAAAAATGTCCGTGCTAAGAGGCCTACCTGTGTGTCTATTAAATATCTGATACACAACTGGTACACACTTGGAGGAAGAGCACAAGGTGTCTTCCATTGCACTGAGCTAGTTTGGCGCTTGATCCAACACAACCGCACTTGAAACGTTACTGATCACAGCTCAGGAGGAACCCGGCCCATTCCAACACACCCAATGATTGTTTCTGAGTGTAACTACCTGTCGCAGCTCGAATTCGTCTTCGTTTCATCACGATGGAGCATTGCGAGAGCATGAAGTGTTTAACCGCTATCAATTAACAACTGCTCTTGAGTTGCAAGGCCTCAAAAAGGCCGCACAAGGTGGCGTCTGCTGCAGCTGGAGCATACTGACTCAGATCACTGGATGAAAAATCACGTCTACTCGACAGGGGTTCGGGTATCAAACTGTCTGATTACCGGAGCGCAGATTGGCATGAACAACCGACCCGGAGCGGGTATTTGAGTGAACTCACCTGTTCAACGATGTTTTGCCGGTATATCTGTTTTCACGGGTTCGGATAGCGTGTGCCCGAGCTTTAAGGTTACCGACCAGCTATGCTAGTTTCACGGCCGATGTCTATCAATCGGTTGGGTTGACGCGATTTCCAATCGATGATCAATGAGAAATCACACTCTGAACCAGGTAAGGTTGAGATGAGGATGAGCGAGATTCAAGAACGCGTCACTGTCCAAACATCCCGCAATCCTAACTAAAGCTCGGTAGGAAAAGTTATTAACTACGGAGTGAGACAGGTTCAGAAGATAAGCATCAAAGAAGCTGGAATGTCGCCAAAATGTGCAAAACTTTCCAATCAGAATCCTTAATTAACTGCAATATTATGTGTGCAGTATTATCCCCAAAACTTAACATTGTCTTGGATCGAAACTCCCGGTACTTCCGCAGCAAATGGCGGAAACGTGGCCCCTTTTTAGAAAACAAAAGGAGTCCAGTCCCAAACTTGCTATCAGAACAGACAACATTGGTGTTAGTTACCAACGCATATATGGAGAAGGCAAAAGTACCAAAAACCATCACTCAAATCTGTACAAAAAGCAACTGCAAAAAGCATCGCATAGTAGGCCGAC